TTCTGCTGGGATTCCTGACAGGTGCCACCAAGTTCCTCTCTAACCCGTATTTCTTCCTCTTCCCCTGCCCTGTCCTCTTCCATTCTCTCTCCCCTCCCTGTCCTTCCCTCTGTCCTCCCTTTTTCCTTTCCTTTTTTTTTTCCCTGGGGTTAGGATTGAACCCATGACCCTGTTAGCCTGACAGGAATCCCCGGAAACAACCACTCTCACAGCTAAGGGGGTACTTCCTAAAGTACTTCCTAAAGTACTGTTTTCAAATCTACCTGCACCTGGGAAACAGAGCGGCTCCAGTTCAGATACAGTGTCGAAGGCACTCAGCAAAACACCCGCTCACAGAAAAAGAAAACGCCCCCACAGCACTGGCTGTCAGGTTTCCTAAGCCTTCAGGGATGTGTGCTGAGAGCCACGCACGGTCACGGAGAACAAACCTGCACGCACCCCTTCCTGGGCGAGGTCTGCCCACTTGATGCGCTTACAGTAGCGCAGACACACACGCTGCCCTTCAATGCGAGAAGAACAAAAGCAGCCCCGCGTTCTTGCTTCCCCGTGGTGAACGCTATGTGCACACAAGCCCAGCTCTTTTGCTACTCTCTCTTTTTTGGGATGAAGCCATATGAAGTTGGAAATGAGGCTTCTATCTTAGAGTCCCCATTAAATGCTTTCAAGCTAATACCTGCTGGTGGCGGCAATTCGCGTCCTAGATGGAGTCCTAATGAGCACTCGCGGTGGTGCCCGATCTGATTGAAGCCCATTACGCCTCCATGAAGGGAGTGCTGCCTCATCCCTGCAGCAGGCAGATGTCAGAAGCACATTCGCTTTGGAAGATGACACTAATTTGCTCAAAGAGGGAAGCGGGCTCCCCAGACTTTCAGCGTATTAGTCCGTGAAAGCAAGGCCAGGATTCGGCATGGTCTCAAAAGCAAGAGTTTTTACCAGAGGAAAAAAAAAACAAAAAAAAAAATACAAGGGCTGACTAGCATACGGCATTCACACCAAACGGCCTCCAAAGGACCTAGTTGCCCTGTTCTTGACATCAGGACCAGGTCTGGACCAGGAGAGAGGACTGCTGTGACAGCAGATGGTGACAAGGCTGTTTGAAAATGCCTGGTGGCTCCTGAGACTCCAGTGCTTGTGATTTGCCCTCTTATTCCTTCATACGGGCAAGCTCGTGCTTCCTTCAGGTGAGAGCATGTTTTCAAATTATTTATTTACCTATTATGTGTGCATGCCTGTGTATGTGAGGGTGTATGCGTGCACTGCGTGTGGAACTGCACGTGGAGGAGAGAGGACAATCTGTTGGTTCTCATCTTCCACCATGGGAGAGCCAGGGCTGGAACTCAGGTCATCAGGCTTAGCAGCAAGCCCCTTTACCCACTGAGCCGCCCCGTAAGCGAGCTTCACGATGACTCAGTGTTGACTCTCTACGCTGCATTCGGACTTTGATAGGATCAGAAGTGTTCTGTTCTCTGGAAAGAACACTTGACTGCGTATTTGTGACAAACACGCCCTTTTGTGTTTGCTGGAGTTGTTAGGAAGTGAACTTGAGTGGCTCACCTGACCTTGCTGGGAGGCGGGTTACAAGTGCTGTGGGGAACAGAAGTTTCAGGGAAAGAAAAGAACCTGGAGAAAGAAGCTGGCTGGGAAAGAGGGCGCTGACAACCTATTGGTGTCCGTGGACAGTGTAGGGTGTGCCGTGTTTATCCAGTGAATGCACACGATGCCTCGGGTTGAAAGAAGTACAGGGGAAGAGTAGACTCGGGAAGAGCAAGAACGTGGAGGAAGACGATGGCTTCCTAGTTTCCCCTCTACAGCATAACAAAGTTCCGGGCCACTGACTAGTGTCAGGGAGCAGATGGCTTTACCGATGAAGACCATAAAGACAGACCCTGAACTAAAAGCCCAAATCTATTAAGCCACAGCCTTGAGTTCAAGTCACCACTCACTGCCTGCCTTTTCTCAGCCAGCTGTCTTCGCTAAGGTCTCTGGAGTCCCCCCTGCAGAACCCACTGGGTCTCCTCCTCTGGTCTTGCCTTCTGCATGCGCAAACACTGATCTTGGCAACCACAGTGACTGATGTCATATCTTGACTGCACTGAGCTTTGCGTAAGCAGAGAGAAGACATTAAATAACATTTATGTGCTCGCCTATCATTCTTCAAGGAGGCTGAGAGGATGACTTTGGGGGGATAACTAGGGTTCATTTTTCTTCTAGATTTATGTTATTATTTTTAATCGTGTGTGTCTGTTTGTGGGTGTGCTCAGGTACACATATACACGCTTGTGCACATGAGTGCAAGTGTCCATGGAGACCAGAAGAGAGTGGCAGACTGGAGTCACAGCAGTTATGACTTCTCAAATGTGGGCACTGGGAGCCAAGGGTCCTCTGCAAGAGCAGCATGGTGCTCTTTGAGCCATTGCTCAGCAACCAGGATGCTTAGAGACGGGCCAGAGCTCTTTACCCAGTTTTTAATGATTACAGTGAGAAACGGTGGCAGAAAGTAAATGCTACGTGTAGAATTCAGATTGGAACAAGCTGAGATACTTTGCTGCCAAGAAGTTACCTTGGATGGAATATTATAGACAGCACAAAACCTAGGCTGGTGTTCTCTAGATATTTTTCCTAATATTAATTTTCTTAGAACCTGCTTTGAGATCACTAAGGAGCTGTACCAGTCCATTTCAGGATGAAGGATGTATCCTGCAGCTTGCGTTACAACCCCTTCCTCCCTGGCCCTTGCCCTACCCCTTGGGGCTTTACCCTCCCTGTTCAATACCACACACACACACACACACACACACACACACACACACGCACACGCACACGCACACGCACACTCACACGCACACGCACACGCACACTCACACGCACACTCACACTCACTTTTATAAGCTGACTCTTTCCATTCACTTCTACTGTAAAGGACAGACCTTGGCACACTTTAGGAATACCTGTTTTTCTAGAAATGTTCTCTTTTGAGTGTTCAGACTGAATAATGTCGCCCATAGATGAGAGACACATCCATCTGCACAAATAGTATCGTGTGTAGAGGAGGTAGAAATAGGGATTCTGCGGCCAGACTCTGTCCAGACCCCAGACAAGACACTGAACTTCTCTAACCTCGCTCACCTGTCTGCAGGGGTCGGTAAGGAGCGTGCCGGCTGAGTTGAGCCGCACACTTAGATCTGGGAGTGCCTGGCACTTGGCCTTTTCATGCTGATGGATTCACCGTTCCATTCAAACTGAAAGCTCAGCCTTCAAGAAGGCACCCCCACCATGGTGCTAAGTGTTCTGCCACTGCCCTTCAGTTCTCACAGACTGTACTCTCCTGCTTTGCTGACAGCTGGACTTCCCTCAGCTTCTAAAACCACACCAGAAAGCGGGTGCCCTTTAGAGGCCATGCCACCAATTCCTTAAGTTTAGTTTATTTAAGACCTAGAAAGGGAAGAGATGAAAATGTAGTTATGAGACAAAGAGTAAGTATACTTAGGCTGGAGTTGTCTAATCGAATTTTCTCCAATGAGAGGTGGGGAGATACCTTAGTTATATTAAAGCGCTTGTTTGGCAAGGACAGAGATCTGGGTTTGATTCCCAGAACTCACGTAAAGAAGGCTAGTTGTGGCAGCTCGCCCTGGTAATCTCAGTGCTGGGGAGACAGAGTCAGTGATCCCTGGTGCTCACTGGCCAACCAGTCTAGCCTACTTGGTGAGCTCTAGGCCAGAGAGAGACCTTGTATAAAAACAACAAAACAAAAACAAACAAACAAACCCATGGATGGCACCTGAGGAATAATACTTGAGGTTGTACACACACACACACACACACACACACACTCATGTACATTTATACAAAGGTACAACTGATCACACACGTGGAAATGCACACACTCTCTCTCACACACACATGCACAAGAAATTGCCCCAGTGATATAAACATCTGTGCTGTCCTGTATGGTAGCCGCTCGGCACCGAGGGCTACTGAGTACTCGAAATGCGGTAAGTGGGAGTGAGGACAAGAATATTAGGTTTTATTTAATTTTAAGGCTAAACAGCCCCATGTGATCAGGAGCACGGACACCACATTGGACGAGCAGGTGTGGAAGTCACACACTCCCGCCTTCTCTCCCTGTTAGTCTGGGCACTCGGGAAGGCTAAGGACAAGGATGCTGAAGCCCCAGCTAGAGACAGATCTGCCGCCGGCCAGTTCTGGGTCCTGGACAAGTCTCTTTCTCTGTTTCCTCGGTTGTGACCTGGGGATAAGGGCAACTGCTTCACAGGGCTGTGGTGAGGCCTGAAGGGGTTAACATGAGGCTGCGCTCACAAAAGCAGTAGCGCTGCCGGCCTTATACTTGGGCAGGGCTATTGTCCTTCAAGCCTCTGTGCGGAAATTAATTTTTTTTAAATGGTCTCTTAAAGAAACAAAAAACAAGTCTTGCCTCTCTGTGTAGCTTTTCTCAATTTCCATCTTGTTTTCACCTGCCTTGAGCTGATCAGTCCTGCTCCTCACCCCGCTCCTGTTTCTGCCCCACGAGGGGGTATTTCATGCCTCTCCTCGTCCTCGTACCTTAGAATGGTCTAAGACTGAACCTGACACTGGCTGTGATCACTCTAATCGTAGACTATATTTTTCCAAGCCAAGAGAATTTTATTGAGATAGTTATGTAGCTCAAACAGGCCTTGAACCAGACAATCCTTCTGCCTTAGCCTTCTGCAGCCGGGGTCACAGGAGTGAGCCACCGTGCCTGATTCCCGCAGTCTTCCAGTTCTTCTTGTGTGTGTGTGCCCATGTGTGTGTGCCTGGCGCCTATTTATTTCTGTCTTATCCCCATCCCCACCTGAGGCAAGGCCTCTCATTGAATCTGGAGCCAGGGCAGCAGCTAGCAAGTCCCAGTGATCTTCCTGTCTCCACCCCCACAGTGCTGGGTGACACAGTGCTGGGTGACAGGGACCAGCCGCCAGGCTCAGCTTCTTACGTAGGTTCTGGGGATTGGAGCTGGGTCCACAGAGTCACAGCAATTGCTCCTCCCCACTGAGCCATCTCCTCAGGCCTCTAGTTCATTTCCTTATACCTCATATTCCACATCCCAATACACTGATAATGTGAAGAGGCGGGAAGTGAGAAAACCTTGGACATTCTATTGACTGCGCCTTTCCGCTTTCATACTTTAAAACAGGGCTCATTAAATTATTGTGAAAATTAAAAATATAAAGACTGCTAAGACAGAGGTTGCTAATAATTCATTATCAGATGAGACCGTGTATGTGGAAGCATTCTGTAAACTGAAATCTCCTGTGCATGGTAATTAGCACAGTTGATCTTTCTCTCAATGGAAGGTCGAGGATGGCGAGAAAGGCAGGCCAGGGTAACTCTGTTTAACCTGTAAGATGTGCTTCAGCCTGCTGGATGTTCCCATCTCAAGTCCACCTTCCCCAGTCTCTTAGAGACCCTAACCCAGCTTGCTTCAGTCAGGGCAGAGTTTAACAAGGAGAACAAGTCTGTAGTGCAGGCCCTGCCAGGGTTAAGGCTGGAGGGTGGAGCTACTTCAGGCAGGGTGATCTAGAATAACACTGTGAGACACAATGCATGATGGCAATCTGGGACTGCCAAGTACTGCTGTAGAAGAACCCTTAGCATAATAATGATCAAGGGGTAACTGGAAGCAAGAACCATGAAAAGCAAGCCCTATGGAAGGGTTACCCAGCCATCCAGAAACAAGAGTCTCTGAGCTCTTGAGACCACATTGTAAACAAAGGCCCTCCAAGTGTCTTTAGGGCACCAACGCCATTGTCCCCTGGGGGCTTGTTATCGATGCAGAGCTACTGAGTTGGAATATATAGGTGAATAAGGTCTCCTGTACTGATACATTATACGTGGAGCTGCACTGACCACCAAAACCTGAGCCATCTCCTTCCCCTGGCCTCTACCTGGGAGCACAGAAGTATGACATCTAGCAGTTCTGCCCTAGGGGAAGTGCACAGGGACTTTTATTTAGACCCTGTTGGCTCTCTCAGATGCTGAGGGACTAGAAGAGGTTCATAACAGTCCCTGCCTCTGAGGTGCAAAGACCAGACTGGGGATGAGCTATTCTCAGACAACATGGAGGCTAGGGAAAGGCGTAGGGTTGGGTTTTAATCTTTGAATCACAGGGCAGAGTGTCAGGCAGACATCTAGCACATGTTTGCTG